TCCCCATCACCTAGTGGCACCTGGGGAGCAGTTACTGGTGTATGAGGCTACTCTCTCTACCTCAGGCACTTACCTATCACTGCCTGCCTTACAGTGCCACTAGTACTTACCTAACAGTGACAACGTGGGTCGTGGGCTCCAGCTCTTCATACCCCACCTCCCAGCCTAGAGTGTCGCACCTGTTGTGTTTAAATGTAACTATTCTCATATTAAAGTCGCGTGTCGAATCTGGAGGTGGCTTCCACAGCTTCTTGTTCCAGAGCATTGTATTTGTTGACAACGGGATACGTGTATTTCCTTTGTCACAAGAATCTCCCTAGGAATAGAAATTGAGCAGCCTATTCCTTCAATTAACAGCAAGAGTAACAACAACTATATTCGTCTACACAAGATTCCACCAGTCTCTACACCCCGGTACCCCAAGACACCTGGGGCTAGATTCACGAAGCAGTTACGCAAACACTTACGAACGTGTACACGTTTTCTCAATCTTTGGCGGCTTTGTTTACAATTATTAAACAGTTAATAAGCTCGGAAGCACCAGGAGGCTGTTTATAACAATAACAACAATTGATCGGCAAGTTTTCATGCTTCTAAACTGTTTAATAAATATAACCAAAGCCGTCAAAGATTGAGGAAAGATGTACACGTTCGTAAGTGCTTGCGTAACTGCTTCGTGAATCTAGCCCCAGGCGTGTGTGGGGCCCGCGCCACTCTCCGGTCAACAAGCATCTTGCTAGTTTGCATCTCTGGCTGGCAATTACCGGCACGGTCAAGCCCGCGTATATATATATAGAACCCAGCCAGCCACTACCTTTTCAACGGGAGACATCTCCCGTCACGCAGGGTGCAGTCGCACCTCCACAGATCTCCAGTATCATCTATTGATACTTGTAATGACTCAAAAGGGCCACCACTTACGGGCTATTCATGCCCGTGCCACCTTTTGCGTGGCTTAATCTTCATCATCAATCCACTACCGAGCAGAATGCTCTCAGTGCTCATACCTGCGACACCTGCTGCCTCACTACCCCGTGTGGTGGTAGATTTACGCAGGTCTTGTACATAGTATTCCAGCACCATTTATTTTTATCTTTAACGTAACATTAACTTGTTTGTTTGCTTTTAATTTTTGCACGTTGTATTCAGCCAAGTCATAGAGGAACTATTTATATTTCTTGTAAATTGTTTGTCACTTTTTGTCATTGTAAAGTATTTAAATATTTTTATTCTTTGTACTTTATCCTGCAGCTACCATATCGTGAAGAGATCTACTTAGGCAGTTTTATTTTCTTAGTTTTTACTTTTATTTTGTTTAATGTGAGTGGCACTCCATCTGCCCTAATAGTCACTGCTCTGTTAGTCATTTTACCGTAACACCTTCTATTCCTTCGACTCGGAAGCTCTTGAGTTGTTGTCTATCTTGTCTGGAAGATGCTGTTCTGGTCCTTTGTCCACTCGTAGTATCCTCTCGGTATCTTGTATGTAGTGATCATGTCCCATCATGGTTATGTGATCAGGTTCTCCCTCTCGCAGATTACCGCTGATTTCTTTCTGTCATAGCTGCTGTCTAAGGAATCGGGGGGGGGGGGGGGTCACGAGGCTTAATAATGTCGAAATATTCAAAATTAACGTGTTTACCTGGTACGTTTTGTAACCATGTGTACCATAGTACACATAGCCCCCCCCCCTACCATAGCATTGACCAGCAGGGGATAAAGTCGTTGCCATTTCCTGAAATATAAAATTTAAGAGCCTTTGTTGAACTTCAGATTTTTCTTGCTTTCTAAAACTCTCCAGATTTTTTCCCTCTGATTAAAAAAAATAGATTTTATCCAGACCCTGTTTGAAGGGTTGTGTAGCTGGGGTCACCAGGGGTCACCCTTCCCTAGTGACCCCAAACTTTGACCCCCAGTTCCCACAGGAATCACAGAGCAAGTTACGTTCACATTTGAAGTAATTTCACACCTCAAGTCTGGGACAACAAGAATTGAACGTTGCCGTCAAGGCTGACAAGTTCTGTGTCGTTATTTGTGCAGCAGCAACAGACTACTAGATCCGAACATGTCTGCTTTATAGAACGGTTATGCTGGTGTAGACAGGGCCATATATAGAGCTTCCTAGGAGACTCGAACCACGGTCTCCCCCACACGTGTGAGACCGAAGCTCTATCGACGGCGCTATTGAATGGTCTCAATAGGGAAAAGACTCCAGAAGCAGCGTCCTGCTGCCAAGGTGGGATTTTCAAGTTTTCCCTGAAAACTACTGAAGCTAAGAGGGACTAGTGGTCCAGGTTATATAAATCTTGTCTACCTTAAGCTTTAAAGTTTTTGCTGTGCCGCACTGTATCACCGTATATCCTCCCTGGTATATCCCAGCCCCTGGTGTGTCCCAGCCCCTGGTGTGTCCCAACACCCTGGTATATCCCAGCCCCTGGTATATCCCAGCCCCTGGTATATCCCAGCCCCTGGTATATCCCAGCCCCTGGTGTGTCCCAGCCCTTGGTATGTCCCATCCCCTGGTATATCCCAGCCTTTGGTATGTCCCAGCCCCTGGTGTATCCCAGCACCCTGGTATATCCCAGCACCCTGGTATATCCACTCCCCTGGTATATCCCAGCCCCTGGTATATCCCAGCCCCTGGTATATCCACTCCCCTGGTATATCCCAGCCTCTGGTATATCCCTTCCCCTGATATATCCCAGCCCCTGGTATATCCCAGCCCCTGATATATCCCAGCCCCTGGTATATCCCAGCCCCTGGTATATATCCCACTGGGTCTGGCACCGGTTCCATATATTTAACACTTAAAGAACAAGTAATTCGCCTCGTTAGAGTGAAATCGTTTCCCTGTAATTGTAAAACTATTAATTAGTGTGAAATGGAAGTTTCAGGCGACAGAACATTTCAGAAATAAAGAACATTTCGGTAATAAAGAACACGTTCATTTCGAACATTTTGAACTTTGAACATTTTGAATTTTTGATCTATTGTATACTTGTAGTTAATGGGCTGTATGGTAGTTACCCTGGAAACACAAACTGAAACTGTACAGCTTGTACGTGTACGTTGAGATTGTACGTGTACGTTGAGCTTGTACGTGTACGTTGAACTTGTACGTGTATGAGCTTGTACGTGTACGTTGATCTTGTACGTGCGTTGAGATTGTGTGTACGTTGAGCTTGTATGTGTACGTTGAACGTGTTGTTGAGCTTGTACGTGTTCGTTGAGCTTGTATGTGTACGTTGAGCTTGTACGTGTACGTTGAGATTGTACGTGTACGTTGAGCTTGTACGTGTACGTTGAGCTTGTACACGTACGTTGAGCTTGTACGTGTACGTTGAGCTTGTACGTGTACGTTGAGCTTGTACGTGTACGTTGAGATTGTAGGGTACGTTGAGCTTGTACGCGTACGTTGAGCTTGTACGTGTACGTTGAGCTTGTACGTGTATGTTGAGCTTGTACGTGTATGTTGAGCTTGTACGTGTACGTTGAGCTTGTACACGTACGTTGAGCTTGTACGCGTACGTTGAGCTTGTACGTGTACGTTGAGCTTGTACGTGTACGTTGAGCTTGTACGTGTACGTTGAGCTTGTACACGTACGTTGAGCTTGTACGTGTACGTTGAGCTTGTACGTGTACGTTGAGCTTGTAAGTGTATGTTCAGCTTGTACGTGTACGTTGAGCTTGTACGTGTACGTTGAGCTTGTACGTGTATGTTGAGCTTGTACGTGTACGTTGAGCTTGTACGTGTATGTTGAGCTTGTACACGTACGTTGAGCTTGTACGTGTACGTTGAGCTTGTACGCGTACGTTGAGCTTGTACGTGTATGTTGAGCTTGTACGCGTACGTTGAGCTTGTACGTGTACGTTGAGCTTGTACGTGTACGTTGAGCTTGTACGCGTACGTTGAGCTTGTACGCGTACGTTGAGCTTGTACGTGTACGTTGAGCTTGTACGCGTACGTTGAGCTTGTACGCGTACGTTGAGCTTGTACGCGTACGTTGAGCTTGTACGTGTACGTTGAGCTTGTACGTGTACGTTGAGCTTGTACGTGTACGTTGAGCTTGTACGTGTACGTTGAGCTTGTACGTGTATGTTGAGCTTGTACGTGTACGTTGAGCTTGTACGTGTACGTTGAGCTTGTACGTGTACGTTGAGCTTGTACGTGTACGTTGAGCTTGTACGTGTACGTTGAGCTTGTACGTGTACGTTGAGCTTGTACGTGTACGTTGAGCTTGTACGTGTACGTTGAGCTTGTACGTGTACGTTGAGCTTGTACGTGTACGTTGAGCTTGTACGTGTACGTTGAGCTTGTATGTGTACGTTGAGCTTGTACGTGTATGTTGAGCTTGTACGTGTACGTTGAGCTTGTACGTGTACGTTGAGCTTGTACGTGTACGTTGAGCTTGTACGTGTACGTTGAGCTTGTACGTGTACGTTGAGCTTGTACGTGTATGTTGAGCTTGTACGTGTACGTTGAGCTTGTACGTGTATGTTGAGCTTGTACGTGTACGTTGAGCTTGTACGTGTATGTTGAGCTTGTACGTGTATGTTGAGCTTGTACGTGTATGTTGAGCTTGTACGTGTACGTTGAGCTTGTACGCGTACGTTGAGCTTGTACACGTACATAGAGCTTGTACACGTACATAGAGTGTACACGTACATAGAGCTTGTACACGTACATAGAGCTTGTACACGTACATAGAGCTGGATAAACGCCTCGGAAGTTCGTGGACACATCCCTTTGCCTTGTCTATTCCTCGTATCTCTCCAGATGAGCTCAAGACACCCTCCAGGTATCGTAAAGGTGACCTCCAGATAACCTCAAGATATCCACCAATCCCAACATGGATATTGGTGTTATCTCTTCACAACATCTCTCCCAGATCTTGTGAGACCTTTAGACAACTTTCTCGCTATAATTGATATATTGTGAATTTCCTTCTTTTCCCCCTAATGATATCGTTTTCCTTCGGCAGGTAAGTGGGAGGCTGCAAGATGGAAGATGGAAGGCGAGATCTAGGATGCTGGAGACAGGTAGGCAAGGAAGTAGGAGCCGTTCTCTAACTTTTTGGCAGTTCTCTAAACCCAGGAGGAGGTGAAGGCGTGTCTTGAGTGGAGAATTGTGTTTAGGAACCGCTAATTGGGGTTAATGGTTAATGGTTAATTAACTACCGACGGGGATTAACCTTCAATGGAACGAGGTGTCAACTGAATATTCTTAACTACCTAAATACAAGTTCAAAGTGGGTTGTATATACTTTTTTTTCTATAAGGTTAAATTATTGATTTATATTTCTGTGTAAGATAGAACTTAATTGATTCCTTGAACCTCGTTAATTTTGCTTAGTCGTTTTGGACAAAATTTAAGCCCTGGACAACAGCATAATTTTGAACCAATTGATGTGACATCATAGTGATGTCACGCACCATAGTGACGTCACACACTATAGTGACGCCACACACTATAGTGAAGAACACTATTCCGTTACTCTCCGTTGCGTTAGACTCCGTTGTTCATGAAAACTTTCCAGGAATGAAGGAATTTCATGATTCCATTCCCGTTCTTGCGTCCGAAGAGTCTGTTTATTCTGCCCAAGAAATGTCAACAAAACAGACTCCTTCCTAATCTTCCAGCCAAGAATCACATTCGAAATCTTACTAAACTTCAAAAAAATAATTTAAGCTCATTTCTAAGCTCATACACTCGCTCAGTTATATCCGGTTATTAATATACTTATTTATAAATATACTCGGTTATAACCTGTCGAACATAAATGTGGAAAAGTAGCAAATGTCGGTCAACTTTTCATGTGAGGACGAAACCCCTTGAAAAGTCGTCAATTTCAGGGTTCCTAGTTTGTGAAAATTTACAATTTTTCAGACGATGAGTCACAATAACGTGACTCATGAGGATATGATGAGCAAACCAGACATCAGATGATGAGCAGACGGCGACGTTTCGGTCCTCATCATCAGCAGATGAAGATAAGGAGACGACGACGTTTCGGCCCTCATCATCAGGAGATGAAGATGAGGAGACGACGACGTTTCGGTCCTCATCATCAGCAGATGAAGATAAGGAGACGACGACGTTTCGGCCCTCATCGTCAGGAGATGAAGATAAGAAGACGACGACGTTTCGATCCTCATCGTCAGGAGATGAAGATAAGGAGACGACGACGTTTCGGCCCTCATCGTCAGGAGATGAAGATGAGGAGACGACGACGTTTCGGTCCTCATCATCAGCAGATGAAGATAAGGAGACGACGACGTTTCGGCCCTCATCGTCAGGAGATGAAGATGAGGAGACGACGACGTTTCGGTCCTCATCATCAGCAGATGAAGATAAGGAGACGACGACGTTTCGGCCCTCATCGTCAGGAGATGAAGATAAGAAGACGACGACGTTTCGATCCTCATCGTCAGGAGATGAAGATAAGGAGACGACGACGTTTCGGCCCTCATCGTCAGGAGATGAAGATGAGGAGACGACGACGTTTCGGTCCTCATCATCAGCAGATGAAGATAAGGAGACGACGACGTTTCGGCCCTCATCATCAGGAGATGAAGATAAGGAGACGACGACGTTTCGGTCCTCATCATCAGGAGATGAAGATAAGGAGACGACGACGACGTTTCGGCCCTCATCATCAGCAGATGAAGATAAGGAGACGACGACGTTTCGGCCCTCATCATCAGGAGATGATGAGGACGATATCCTGAAGATATCCATGAGGAGACGACCTCCTGAACTATCATCATGTCCATTGGTCCAAAAGGTTTTCCTGTTTTTCAGGCCTCATGATGGATCTTACAGTGAATGTCGTTCACTTTGGGGATGTCTCGTCTTCACATTAACTTGAACTTCAGATTTCGTCCCCCAACGCGGCTGGGGCTTCAGCTCTGCAGCACCGACACACAAAAAGATTTTCTGATTCGTATAGTGACTAAATCTTTGGCCAAATCTCTAAGACCTTGTAGTGGCCGGTACAAAGTGTACAAGAGAGACTCGTCTGTCAGTGTGCCTGGGTGGATATGTTTCTCAAACACCAACAAACTGGGAATCAACTGAGAGTCAGTTGATTCATCAAACTGAATTTAAAATAAGTCAAATGCTGCAGACGTGATCTATTGCGCATTTTGATCAATGTAAATGGCCATGTCGCCGATTGAAGAGTGTTGTTTGATAGTGAAACCGCCACTGTTTGATAGTGAAACCGCCACTGTTTGATAGTGAAACCGCCACTGTTTGATAGTGAAACTGCTACTGTTTGATAGTGAAACTGCCACTGTTTGATAGTGAAACTGCCACTGTTTGATAGTGAAACCGCCACTGTTTGATAGTGAAACCGCCACTGTTTGATAGTGAAACCGCCACTGTTTGATAGTGAAACCGCCACTGTTTGATAGTGAAACCGCCACTGTTTGATAGTGAAACTGCTACTGTTTGATAGTGAAACTGCCACTGTTTGATAGTGAAACCGCCACTGTTTGATAGTGAAACCGCCACTGTTTGATAGTGAAACTGCCACTGTTTGATAGTGAAACCGCCACTGTTTGATAGTGAAACCGCCACAGGTTTTCTTCAACACATTTACCAACAGAATTGCCACGGTTTTGTCAGTGCAACATTTGATTAGAGTCCCCCCCCCCCTAGTTGTGGTCTTTGCAACATTGCTTCCTGCAGTTGGTGCAAGACGCGGAGGTTCACCAGCGTCTGGTTCAGGTCTTGGGACGCCGCTGGAGACTCCACCTTCATCACTTTAAGATCGTTTCCATGACGTCAAGAAAGCTATAGTGTTGAGGACCGACATGTTGTAGTGTTGCTGCAACTTTTATTGGCTTCAATCACTTGACAAATCTTTGCAACAAGAGGACATTGAGGCCTTTCCTCCCCATTGATGATAGACGTGAATATATATTCAATATATGAATCATCTCACATTTTTTTCCTGCCACTAATGATGAACTCCAAAATTTTTAAATAAAAATATTAATTAAAAGTCAAATATAACTATAAATGGAATATTTCCGATTGTTAAATACTTATTTTTGATTTAGGCTGACATACAGTAGTGTGATGTGAAAAGGTGAGCAATGAGGTGACTGGGGGTCAGGGTTCTCTCAGCCCAACCCGGCTTCAGACCAAGTCTATTCCATCCAGCGGTCCATCCCAAAGATGTATTCATCAATTTTTACATACGCTGGTCATTCTAAATTGGAATTTTTCTCAAATAGAAATTAATATTGTTATATATTAGCATATTGTGCATATATAGTTTTTGGAAGTTACCTGTTTATGGTCTTACGGCCAAACTGTGAATAGCAGAAAATGTCTGTGTTAATTTCCCCAAGATCGGTGAATAACTCTGTATATTGCTATAGGATTTTCTGGTCCTATATTTTATAGGATCAAAATGTTTAGCTATTTAAATCCGGCAGCCAGCGCTAAAAATGAGTCGCGGGGATGTGGAGGAGCGGTGGACGCACCTACACTAGCCCCCCCCCCCCCACACACTAGGGGGGGGAACACACACCCCCTGGTGTCCCCCCCCCCACCCACACTAGGGAGGGACACACACCCCTGGTGTTCCCCCCCACACAAGGGGGGACACACACCCCCACCCTGGAGTCCCCCCCCCACACAAGGGGGGACACACACACACACCCTGGTGTTCCCCCCCACACAAGGGGGGACACACACCCCCACCCTGGAGTCCCCCCCACACAAGGGGGACACACACACACACCCTGGTGTCCCCCCCCCCCCACACTAGGGGGGACACACACCCCTGCTGTCCCCCCCCACACTAGGGGGGACACACACCCCTGGTGTCCCCCCCACACTAGGGGGGACACCCACCCCTGCTGTCCCCCCCACACTAGGGAGGGACACACACCCCTGCTGTCCCCCCCCCCCACACTAGGGGGGACACACACCCCTGGTGTCCCCCCCACACTAGGGGGGACACACACCCCTGCTGTCCCCCCCCACACTAGGGAGGGACACACACCCCTGCTGTCCCCCCCCACCCTAGGGGGGACACACACCCCTGGTGTCCCCCCCCCACACTAGGGGGGACACACACCCCTGCTGTCCCCCCCCACACTAGGGAGGGACACACACCCCTGCTGTCCCCCCCCACACTAGGGGGGACACACACCCCTGGTGTCCCCCCCACACTAGGGGGACACCCACCCCTGCTGTCCCCCCCCACACTAGGGAGGGACACACACCCCTGCTGTCCCCCCCACACTAGGGGGGACACACACCCCTGGTGTCCCCCCCAACACTAGGGGGGACACACACCCCTGCTGTCCCCCCCCACACTAGGGAGGGACACACACCCCTGCTGTCCCCCCCCACCCTAGGGGGGACACACACCCCTGGTGTCCCCCCCCCCACACTAGGGGGGACACACACCCCTGCTGTCCCCCCCCCCCACACTAGGGAGGGACACACACCCCTGCTGTCCCCCCCCCACCCTAGGGGGGACACACACCCCTGGTGTCCCCCCCCACACTAGGGGGGACACACACCCCTGCTGTCCCCCCCCACACTAGGGAGGGACACACACCCCTGCTGTCCCCCCCCACACTAGGGGGGACACACACCCCTGCTGCCCCCCCCCACACTAGGGGGGACACACACCCCTGCTGTCCCCCCCCCCACACTAGGGAGGGACACACACCCCTGCTGTCCCCCCCCCCACCCTAGGGGGGACACACACCCCTGGTGTCCCCCCCCACACTAGGGGGGACACACACCCCTGCTGTCCCCCCCCCCCACACTAGGGAGGGACACACACCCCTGCTGTCCCCCCCCACCCTAGGGGGGACACACACCCCTGGTGTCCCCCCCCCACACTAGGGGGGACACACACCCCTGCTGTCCCCCCCCCACACTAGGGAGGGACACACACCCTGCTGTCCCCCCCCACACTAGGGGGGACACACACCCCTGCTGCCCCCCCCCCACACTAGGGAGGGACACACACCCCTGCTGTCCCCCCCCACCCTAGGGGGGACACACACCCCTGGTGTCCCCCCCCACACTAGGGGGGACACACACCCCTGGTGTCCCCCCCCACACTAGGGGGGACACACACCCCTGCTGTCCCCCCCCCACACTAGGGAGGGACACACACCCCTGCTGTCCCCCCCCCCCACACTAGGGGGACACACACCCCTGCTGCCCCCCCCCAACACTAGGGGGGACACACACCCCTGCTGTCCCCCCCCCACACTAGGGAGGGACACACACCCCTGCTGTCACCCCCCCACACTAGGGGGGACACACACCCCTGCTGCCCCCCCCCCACACTAGGGGGGACACACACCCCTGGTGTCCCCCGCTGGTGTCACAGGCTCATATAAACATATATTTACATATATTAAATATACCCTTCCACAGTATGCTGGTCTTTTCCCTCGCCACCCTCCCTCCCTTTCATATACTACTCCCCCTCCCATGTACCACCAGCTTCCTCCCCACACACCTGCACCTCCCCCACACACACACCTGCACCTCCCCCACACACACATCTGCACCCCCTACACACAGACACACACACACACACACACACACACCTACACACACACACACCCATTCCTCTCAATGTTTGCTGACGACGCCAAAATTATGACAAGGATTAAGACAGAGGAGGACAGCTTGAGGCTTCAAGAAGACCTGGATAAGCTGCAGGAATGGTCGAACAAGTGGATGTTAGAGTTTAACCCAAGCAAATGTAATGTAATGAAGATAGGGGTAGGAAGCAGGAGACCAGATACAAGGTATCATTTGGGAGATGAAATACTTCAAGAGTCAGAGAGAGAGAAAGACCTGGGGGTTGATATCACGCCAGACCTGTCCCCTGAAGCTCATATCAAGAGGATAACATCAGCATATGCCAGGTTAGCTAACTTAAGAACTGCCTTTAGAAACTTGTGTAAGGAATCTTTCAGAACATTATATACCACATATGTCAGACCAATCCTGGAGTATGCGGCTCCAGCATGGAGTCCATATCTAGTCAAGCATAAGACTAAACTGGAAAAGGTTTAAAGGTTTGCCACCAGACTAGTACCCGAGCTGAGAGGTATGAGCTACGAGGAGAGACTACGGGAATTAAACCTCACTTCGTTGGAAGACAGAAGAGTTAGGGGGGACATGATCACCACATTCAAGATTCTGAAGGGAATTGATAGGGTTGATAAAGACAGGCTATTTAACACAAGGGGCACACGCACTAGGGGACACAGGTGGAAACTGAGTGCCCAAATGAACCACAGAGGTATTAGGAAGAACTTTTTTAGTGTCAGAGTAGTTGACAAATGGAATGCATTAGGAAGTGATGTGGTGGAGGCTGACTCCATACACAGTTTCAAGTGTAGATATGATAGAGCCCAATAGGCTCAGGAACCTGTACACCTGTTGATTGACGGTTGAGAGGCGGGACCAAAGAGCCAGAGCTCAACCCCCGCAATCACAAATAGGTGAGTACAACTAGGTGAGTACACCCCCCCCCACACACCCACACCCACACACCCACACCCAAAAACCCACACACCCACATACCCACACCCACATACCCACACACACACACACACACACACACACACACACACACACACACACACACACACACACACACACACACACACACACACACACACACCTACGAGGAAAGGCTAAAGGAGCTGAACCTCACATCCCTGGAAAACAGAAGAGTAAGGGGAGACATGATAACCACCTACAAAATTCTCAGGGGAATTGACAGGGTGGACAAAGACAAACTCTTCAGCACGGGTGGGATACGAACAAGGGGAAACAGGTGGAAACTTAGTACCCAGATGAGCCACA